AGTTTGTGAGGAATTAATTCAAGATCTGTTTGTCTCTGCTGTGAATTTTATTTAGTAACTTAATCCAACAATGTTGAATTAATTATATGTCATACATTATAAAAGACTGAACTTATTAAATATACATATATATTTTTAAAAAGAAAGTACATGCAATTAGGGAAAAACTCTTTTCAAACTCATTAAAATAGATTCTGTTCTGCTTGTTGTGGCCTTGATTTCATAAGTCATGTCTGTATCTGTGGGTATACATGCACTCTCAACTCCACTTCCCCCCCCCAAGTCAGTTTCTTTCCTAAAGAAGGGCACACAGATAAGTGCCTGCCCTGCCCTGTGCCCTTTTGATGACAATCTGACCCGATCCATGATGGTATTTTTCAGATGTCCACAAAAAGCCCATTCCTGCAAATGTGAAAAATGCAGGTGGCTATAGAATGGGACTGCACAACACAATCAGTTGGGAAGATGTAATAGACAGGAAGGTTTTCTTCCACCCAGCGGAACCTTTCTAGCAATTGTGCAAAAACCAGTGGAATCTGCATCAGTACCAATAAAAGGAGGGACAGAGATGGGAGAAGGAAAAATACACCATAACGCACTACTTCTGATCTAACTAGTCAGAGTCCATAGCAGAAGAACGCGCACATTTGTCCACATTTATGTGCACACATATACACACTCGTATTTGTTCAGTAAATTAAACTACATAAAAAGAATATTCTGGAACACAAAACCTAGCAAGAAATCATGACACAAGTCTTTCACTTTGCCCTGCTGGTGAATCAGCTGCCGAGGGCGTTGTAGCACATGGTGACCTCAGTCTGAACCCTTCCAAGTGTCTTAGGCGCTGCAGTGTCCAGTGAAAAACCTGAAATTAGGGGGTTCAGCTGCCACTTGTCTTTTTATTTGGTGCCAGCAACTCAGTTTTGATTGATTGCCTTCATCTATATGCCATCTTTGTCCCAGAAGTTGGATCCAAGGCAGCTTACGACAACTTAAAACAATAGCATAGGGGAGAAAACAGAACCCCGAGGGATTACATAACCTAAAAGCCAAGGAGTCAAACAGGAGCCCCCCAATATTGCCATCTGAAATTGGACCTCCAGAAACAACTGGAACCACCGTAAGACCGTGCCACCACCAAGTCCCATCCCATGTACATGATCCAAAAGGATACCGTGGTAAATGGTATCAAAAGCTGCCAAGCAGTCCCGCAGAACTAATAGGGATGCACTCTCTCTGTCCAGTTCCTGGTAGAGATCATGCATGAAGGTGATCAGAGCTGTTTCTGCCCCCAAAGCCAGGCCTGACTGGAACAGATTGAAGTGGATCTAGATAATCAATTTCCTCTAGGGATCTCTGGGTCATCCTCAGCTCAAATCACTATACATCTTTGGTTAATAATGTTCGAGGTGTTGTTTCACTGGTGTTTGACCAGTGGGTGTTTGCACCATCCTGTAGTCTTCCCAGAATTGTACAAATACTCCAATTCAGCCTTTTGCTGTTGTTGTTGCGTATTTCCCCCAAATGTGCACATCCCCGGTATATACAGGAATTCAGTTTTAGAAGGCAACACTAATGTCAGTGGGGGGAAAACCTGGGCTGCCTTGAGAGGCTTCAAGTAAACCCATTTAGTTTTGGTGGTAGTACCCAGAGAGAAGAACATTATTCTGAAAAAAGAATCCAAATAACAGCACCTGGCTCAAGGTAATGAAATCCAGCCATATTAATGTCAACCTCAGTGACAAACAAGCAGCTAGAGAAAAATCAATGTCAGACGATAAAGGACAAAACTGAGCCGGAAAGAAAATTTATTGAAAAAGCTTCTATGAGGGAACTGCAGAAAAGGAAGAATAAAAATATTGTCCAAGTTCTTTTAGAGGCTTTAATATTCATCATGAAGTATATTGCTAAGTGCATAAACAGCTTCTTGGTTACCATAGTTGAAAATATGCCAAGAAGCTTTTTAATATTTTTTCACAAGAGAAGCCCGGCTTTTGTGAACAGGTCGAACAACAACTTCTCAGCCATTGTTCTGAGTAAAGCAAGAGCCAGAAGGGCCGGTATTTGGGCAAGCTGAGCAACTCTCAAAAGGTGCTGAAAGCAGCTGTGTGTCCAAGCTAAGCTCTCGGAGAATCAAACTTCAGTGGAACAACCAATTCACTGCTAGGCAACTGAAAAAGCGAAGGCTGCCAACTGAGCAGTTCAAAAGCATGCCAATGCGAGTAAATAAATGACCTCTGGGTAGAGTGGGTGGCACATAAATAAAATAAAATAAATAAATAAACAATTCTGGGTAGAGTGAGTGGCATATAAATAAAATAAAATAAATAAATAAATAGGTACCACTATGGTGTGAAGGTAACAGCGTTCCATGTCTAGTCGCGATCGCCACGTGACCATGGAAGCTGTCTTCAGTCAAACGCTGGCTCTATGGCTTGGAAACGGGGATGAGCACTGTGCCCTAGAGTCAGTGACGACTGGTAAAGGTAAAGGTTCCCCTTGACAATTTTTGTCCAGTCGTGTTCGACTCTGGGGGGGCGGTGCTCATCCTCGTTTCCAAGCCATAGGGCCAGCGTTTTGTCCGAAGACAATCTTCGGACAACTGGACTTTACCTTTAATAAGGATCTCCAAAGAGTTCAACAGTGTCAGTAATGGCATCTGGGAGTGGAAAGAGAGCACGGTGGTTCCGTATTTAAAGAGTGATCACAAAAATTATTCAGAGCATTTGTGTCACAAAAAAATATTTCACACCAGGAGCACGGGGCTTAATAGAGCAAAATAAAGGGCTAACTCAAGAAAGCAGGGCTGGAGTAAGTAAAGAAACAAAGGACTCTCTTTGCTGGGAAAAAAACCCAATGACCCTTTGTGCTACCAGTATTGTTGAATGTGTATTACAGTGATGATACTGTATATATAGGAAAATCTGTGCACAACTCCGGTCTTTTAACATTTCTTTATTAAAACTGCTGCATACATACTGTAGTTGACTTGTAATAAAGTAGAATCCCTGTATCTGCTGGATCAGAATCTGCTGATTCACTTATCCCTGGTCTGAAAATACTAAAAATATTAAACAAAAACACAGTATGGCCCCTGTATCCAAGGGATCGGTATTCACGGTTTCACTTATCCCTGGTCTGAAAATATTAAAAGAAAAAAATATATGTATTACCACAACAGGCCACTAAAGGGAATTAGGAGCTATGAATACTGTATTTGTTAGTGAAAAATACATAGCATGGTCTCTGGCGCCCTCTCGTGGCCAGTTCTAGTAATGCATGTAAATCTTTTTCTTCTTTTTCTTTTACTATTATCCAATTTCAGTATCCATGTGGGGCTTTGGAACCAATCCCCAGCTGATATGGGGATACTACTGTACCTGTAAATAAAGATTTTCAAGATGTAATTATCACACTGGCTACTAGAAGAAACCAAATACTATGTTATATAAGTAAGCCACCACCATTTCGCCTGGGCTACTGGCAGTTTGAAGCTGCTCCCCTCCAGAGCAGAGTCATTGTTGTGAAACTCAGAGCTGGCTGGTGAGGCAGGAGGAGGGGCACAAACCTAAGCTAAACATCCTCCTGGGAGAGGTTTCCCACCTCCCACCTTTCCTTCTAGCCTCTTCTTCAACACTCCTGGGGAAACAAGGAAATGGATTCTTAATTGTCTTTCAAGAAAACCTGCAGAGCTGCTGAGATTGTGTTTGTGGGTGTGTATGTTAGAGAGTTTGCTCTGGAGGTAAGCTGCTTTGACCAAACTCTGGGAGGCAGTGGAAGACAGGAGGGCCTGGCATGCTCTGGTCCATGGGTTCACGAAGAGTTGGACACAACGACTGAACAAATGTGAGAGAGACAAAGATGGGTGTCTTCAGTCTTCAGCACAGGAACAAGAGAAGATTTCAACTTGGATCTTACTCAGAGGCCCCATCAAGATAAATATTACAGGTATAGGGGAGTCCTGGGTCCAACAGACTGTGTTAGCTATAATCTGCACTTGTCACTATCTGCGGGAGGGGGTGTTGGAACTGATCCCCAGGGATCCTACTGTATTTGGGGAGGGAGGGAGAGAAGACTGATGCTAAGTGAACAATCCTTTCCACTGCTGGAAATAATTGAGTATAATTAAATCCTAAATCAGCAATTCTCAACCAAATCTATCATTGTCTGTCATGAATACTGCCTAGGTCAATCCAATATTTTTTCCGAAGAACCCACTAATACAATGATTCCACCGCATTATTAAAATACAGGTATGCACTTTTAGCTTCCCTTTAATTTTCTTATGATCTATTCTTTCAAATTCCATTGTTGGCCTTTTAATTTTTCTTCTTGAGGGCCTTCATTTTTGCATATGGCTATGCGATGAAAGAATTACTGAACTTCTGTGGAACACTTTTTTAAATGTTTCTATAATATAGCCCATGTTCTTGAGAATTATAGGACAAGCCCAGGGTATGTACACACAACCAGATATTAAGTGGATGCCTAAGGCCTATTGGCCATAGTGGCTTCTGCGTGGGATTGAGCATCAAATAACAAAGTGTGTCCATGTTTACAGATGTGGTCTTTCATCGCCATGTATCAACCTGTATAGACTGCTGCCCACACAGCAACAGCTGGTCCTTGATTTGTTAATGTGTCTCTGTGAGGACTATGTTCTCTGAAGTGCATCAATTATTTCAAGAATGAAAAGAGTTGTTTCTTAAGCCACCTGCACCCACAATGAGAGTAAATAGGAAGGCGAAGTTTTGTAAAATGAATGACAGTTCACTCCCAAGCCAACTACACCAGAGCACAGGTTGCTGTCCTCTGAAGATGCCAGCCGCAGAGACAGGCGAAACGTCAGGAAGAACAACCTTCAGAACACGGCCAAGAAGCCCGAAAAACCCAGAACAACCATGAATGACTGTTGCTTCTCAGGACAATCAGTGTGCCACAAATTACTAATATTCAATGTGTGTATGAAGGTTACAAAAGTGAACTGGAAACTCTTGTGAATTTATGTACCGCTAATATTATTTCCCTCTGCATACAGCATTTATTCACTGTTAAAAACATAAAAGAGGCAAAGCAATTTATATGACCATGTAGCATTTTTCCCCATTGGGCTCAGATCATAATAGATCTGAAGATTCGGATACTTGCAAAGTTCTAAAGTTGACACAGGAGGAAAATTGGAGCAGGTGATTTTGCACTTCAGGAGAAATTGAGCTGCCCAGATGTTGCATAGTAACCAGAGCTGTCAGTGGAGAATCGCTGAGAGAGGTAGACTGAATTCAGCTGTACTTCTCCAAAGTAGAAGTTCTCAAAGAGCTGAAAGAGAAAAGACACACACAAGTCATGGAAGAGATCCCAAAACAGAGCACAATGGGGCTCTCCTGAAAACTACATTCAAATATATAGTTGAGAAAACCTTCTAATATTGATTCCCACCCCTGCAACATACATAATTGTGTGCTGTCTAGGCAATTCTCATTTATAGCAAACATTTGCAGGATTTTCTAGATATGGAGTACAGTGGTGCCTTGACTTACGAATGCCCTGACATATGACCATTTTGAGTTACGACCAGCTCCGGCCACAAAATTTTGCTTCGACTTGTGGCCGGAGCTTCCAGTTATGAACAGAAAAAGGTAGGGAAAAAAGGCAGGGAATTCAAATTGCTAACCGTTGGTAGGCGAAGAAGCTGCTTCTTTGTAGCTCTTTTGTCCCAACAGTTAGAGTGAGTGCGATCGGAGGAGGCTTCGGACTGCCTGGTAAGGTAAGGTGCTGCTTTCTGCTTTTTAAAAACTGTTCTGGGTGGGTTTTGCAGCACGGTTTCAGGCTGGATGGTGGGATTATGTTTCAATGTTGTGATGGGTCTTGCAGGGTTTGTTGGTTTTTTGGTTTTTTCCCCCAATTTCCGATGGGTCTTGTGGGGTTTCTTTGCTGTTTTGGATTTTTTCCCCCCATTTAGATGGGTCTTGCGGGGTTTCTTTGCTTTTTGCTTTGCTTCTTTGCATTTCCAATGGGCCTTGAACAATTTGTTTGCTTTTTGCTTTGCTTTTTTGCATTTCCGATGAGTCTTGCACGGTTCGCTTGCTTTCTGCTTTGCCTTTTTCATTTCTGATGGGTCTTGCACGATTTGCTTGCTTTTTGCTTTGCTTCTTGGCATTTCCAATGGGCCTTGAACAGTTTGCTTGCTTTTTGCTTTGCTTTTTTGCATTCCCGATGGGTCTTGCAAGATTTGTTTGCTTTTCTTTCCCCCCCCTTCGGTCAGAACAAATTAATCGCGTTTCCGATGGGTCTTTCAGTGTTTTTGTGTGTTTTTTCGGTGATTTTTTCCCCTTCGGCTGGAATGGATTAATTGCATTTCAATGCATTCCTATGGGAAATAGTGCTTTGACTTACGACCATTTTGAGTTACAACCGGAGTTCCAGAACCAATTAAGTTCGTAGGTCGAGGCACCACTGTACTCAGAATTAGTTTACTGTTCACTTTTTCTCTGGGGCACCTGGGACTGTGGAGCTTGGTGCACAGGCTGGTTCTTCTCTTGGAAGGCACAGTGGGAATCAAACTCCCAACGAACCTCTCACTCCCCAGCCAGATATCGAATTCATTGAGCTATCCAAATAGCACTCCCATATACATACTTTGGAAGAATTACTCTTTGGAACAAAACTAACATTTGCTTCTTACGAGGACTTACAAATTGCAATACAAAATAGCATAGAGTTCTGTGTTTTTATTTTGGTTTTTAATCTACCTTTACAAGATCAGCTCCATTTTGATTCATCAGATCCAATTGTTCAAAACAAACAAACAAATAAACAAAAAAAACCCCATCAGATCCAACTGTTCAAAACAAACAAACAAACAAAAAACCTTGTTTATAAATGTGGGAAATTGTGCTTCTGTACCCACAATTTAAAAAGCCAGGAAATGACCTGATATTGCTGCACAATATTGTGCCCATGTTACTAGCAGGAAAAAGGATGCCAAGCAAACTTGACTGCTGCCATTTGTGTTGTTAACATTCAGCCTGCCTTTTGCTTGGCTATTGTATTTCTTTTCTTGAAGGCTAAAGATGACAAATATCCATACTCCTGAGGTTTTTCTATTCACCAGATACAGGTTCAAGAGAAGGATCTTTTCATAGGTAGCCAGACTTTACAAAAAGGAATCTTTTACCTGCTAGTTATTTTGGATTTTCACTCTCAGATGTCTTCAGCATTGCCAATATCAAGAGCAATATAGTCTAATATATCTGGAGAGCCAAAGGCTTCCCATCCCTGCACTATTAGAAAGTTAGTGGCACAAACTCTTGCTACCGACTGGCCCCAATATGAAAAATAAATGATGTCTTGTTGGTTTCCAAGTAAAGTGTGGTCAATGTATTCTGTGCAAACCCAAAATATGTTTACAAAGAGTAGATTCTTTCTCAGCTACAATTTTTCCTTCTTCTAAATGAAACTGCAGGCGACATTTTGCTTTTGTAAGGCTTCTGGAGGCCGGGTATAATAGGTTCACAGACTATGTCGAGCCTATAGTCTGCCAGTTGGCTATATCTGTTCCTGACATTTTGTGTTTCTCCTTTACACATGCTTCAGGAAAACATAAAGGAAAAAGTAATGATGGAATAAGCCTTCAGACAAACCTTTGGTTTCTTCCCAGGACTCCCTGCAGGTTGGAGCATAAAAAGCAGCTCCATCATCACACAACAGGAGCCTGACGACTAAGTTCCCCGTAGATTTAGAAATCAGGTCAGAGCCTGCCTCTGTTGCTATATAGGATATCCCAGTGGTGGGATTCAAATAAATTAACAACTCTGTTGCTATATAGGATATCCAAGAAGATACATATTGTGGCTGAGAGACAAGGCTGAGTTAAGTTCTAACCCCGAGACCCTGTTCTTCATTTAGGCCTGCATACAGTAGGGCTTTAACTTGATTGGACAGGGTTTTCTGTGTGAGAGAATTACCTTGTAAAGTCCAAAAGAGATCAAAATAAGTTCAGTTAATTAATGTGAGTAACTAGCCTGCACTCTGTTAAGTAGCTACATTTGGCCTATTTTATCCAAAGAAAGAATAGTGAAATTTAAAAAAACCCAGCTCTTTGTTCTAATTCCTTGAACAAGGCCTTTGAAAAGCATGCAAAACACAAACACACATAACTGAAATACAGATCAGGAGAAAACTTCTCTAGTGGTTATCACTATATAGAAGAGGGATGGAAAAATGACATCAGAATATATTAAGCAGAAAGCTTACTGATACTGCTTAGGAGAAACATCATGTTCAAGTACTTTTCTCTCTTCCATTAAGAAGCAGGAAATTGCTGTGCCTTAAAATGCTAGTAATGCCTTTGGAAAACCTTTCAACAAATACACTAATTTCAAACTCAGTTTAATGCTGCAGTGCTAAGGGGTCGACAAGGGTCGAGTAGTTTAGCTTCCCCAACACAGAGACTGAAAAATACTCATACTCAACCTGACTTCCTCAGCATTTTATAGCTGTCCCTGCAGACCTCATTTCAGGATGGGCATATCCAACTCTTCCTGCCATTAAGGATTCCCAATGGCTTTGAAAAATCTACAGCTTCATTAAGTCCTGTTGAGCATCCATTGATTCTTGAGTGTGTAACCATTGAAATTCAAGCATCTGCTTGGCAACCATTATGTTATATTTCACTCCTTTCCAGAAATGTATTGAATGATCACTGGCATAGATCACCTCAAAACCTTCTTTATTGGCTTTGTCAATTTTTGTTTTATTTTCTATGACCCTCTTAGTAAATCAGAAATCACAAAAGTGGAGTGTCTAACCCCAGGAGAGTTTGCTAGAAGAGCCTGAGGAAAACACAAGGATTGCACAAATATGAGGACACTTTAAGAGAAACCACAGCAGCCTGGGGTTGCTACTATACCATCAATCTTGCTATAAATATGACCAGGACTGGCAATGGCAACTTAAACAGAGTCAGTTTGGTTGAGCAGAGTGTGTTGCAGGAAGTGCCACGGTGGTGGCCAAAAGGAATTTCAGAAGTGCCAGAACCGCCAAGAAGATAGAGCCTGAGTAAAAAGTCACAAGAGTCTGGAAACAAGTGAAATGACCTTAAGATACAAAGGTTTGTTCTCCCCAGAGTTCTTCCATGCAAGAGACTGAAGTCACACATGCAAACTACACTATACATACAGTTCTATTAAGCATTTTTTAACGGTTGGAAGTAACATTGCTTCCCATCATATCATAGTATCAGAGTTCCCATAATCAGATTCACATATTTTTGGCTGTTTAGTTCTTCCTCATGGGATTATAAGGATTCTAATTATTTGTTCTATGACACACATTCACAAAAATAAAGCATTGACTGGTTGCTGGCATAAATTATCTCAAACTGCATCTTTATTGACTCTGGCCATTGTTTCATATTCTAATATCTCTATCAAATGATGATACCGAATCTAGCCATAAACAAATTTCCATATAGCTTCACTGAAGTGTCACAGTGACCGCAGAAAATCGTTATATGAATCTACTCTGAGAGCTGGTCATGTAAAACCCAAATTACTAAAATATTCCAACAGTGGGTAAAAGTGGAGGTTACATTTTAAAAAAACTCCAAACTTCATCAGAATCACATAATTAATTTGGGATAATGGTAAGTCCAGGCCAATGAAAATTTGGATAATAAGGATTCAGTCTGCTCTGATTAAACCAAGTAGGATTAATTTTTTTTACTGAGTTGTTTAAAGCAACAGTTTTAATTTAATATTTTAAATGGGGTGGCGTTTAGGAGAATAAAATTAAAAAGATAAACTATTTTTGTAAGATTATTATAAATGGAAAAATAATCTGGAAATGGGGCTTCAAAAGCTTATTCATTTACAGTTAAGATAAAAATATCTTCCAGGATAAGCAAAAAAATTGAGTATGAGTGAATGAGTGAGTAAGAGAAAGATACACAGTGTAGGTGAACAGAGATTGCTTTCAAATAAAAAGCCGATTTTGATTAAATATAATATTTAGAGAATAATTTTCTGTAGACTCCAGCAGTTTTGATAGGGCATGCGCTTTGTATTCAATGGCCAGAAATGGAATTTTGAAACTACACCTGTTTTTATTTTCCATATATTTTAAATAAGTAGCTCTCAGAGGCCTTCATAATCATGCAGTTCTGCTTTCTCAGCAAAGAGGAGGCTCCCTGCACTGCCTACACAACAGGAAATTGTTACTGTCAGGTTGTTTGTGAGCCTGAAGATGTTTTTAAAAGTAAGGCATACTGAAGCATTTATTTACAGTGTCGTTGGGGAGCAGAATATCGCAATTTTACC